TATGCGCTTCTCACGATATGTTTTTCTCGGTCGCACGAGAAAGGCGGGAAAATTTGAATACTCGTGACGCGATATACATGCCTCGAGGACTTTTCCCCGTACGGCTGCTTCTTCTGCCTCGAGCTGCACGGAGATGCGAGGGGGGAAATGATGAAACCGTTAGCTCGATGAATTCACGGGCATATTTATGGAAGATAATGGGCGTGTGCGAGTGCCCATTTAATTTGCACCTTGACCTTATAAGATCCCTCCTTTCGAGAATTACACGGTACACGCACAAACCCTGTACATCTGACGGCAAAACGATAATGATTTGCTTTTATTGGAAATTTATTTACCTGGTCTGCGGAGATCGGCTATTTATTCCTACTTATGGAACATCGAAGCACAGCCAGATGCATTTAACAGTACTTTTTTTTTTTTTTTTTCTGTTGTAATCCACACTTTTTTCGTTGGTAATTTTTACCAATTCGCGAGATGAATCTTTGTCGGGGTAAAAATGACAAAAACAACTCGCACATCTTCGCGTAAATATACGGAATGGCCATGGCGCGTGGACAAATCGAGTTGCTTCAGCATCGGTATAAAATACCGTTATGCGGTAACAAACGCAAAACTCGTATACCTGTAAGCACCGCGCTAAGAACGTCCAAACTACCCCGACCGACGAGACGTCTTTCGCGTTGTTGCACTCCTTCTCTCTTACATGCACTCGCGTAAGTACAGTAATTTGACGTGCGTACACCCACTAACGATTTGGTAAAAAAAAAAACGCTAAACTATCGCGCTAATGAAGTATACCGCAATACAATGTATTTTTACACGAGGATAACTTAGATACGAAGAACAATTTATTTCGCTCGAGGTGAAAATATTGTTAAATCTCATAAACGCGCTAATTTAAATGTCGAGCGTGTGTGTATGTGTGCATAATGCGATACTCAAGATTTCACGCGTTCCGTATACGTCTGGACTAAGCGTATAGAAATTAGGTTGTGTACAATGTACGAGCACACAATAGGTGCTCTGGCAAAAAGTGGCACGACAAACGGACAAATGGACGCAGAACTCGAGTTCCAAACAAGCGATTCATAAATTTTGTGGATCTATTTATATATAAACTGATTTACAACTCGTGCGATTACGTAATTAGTATACCTTGTAAGCCGAGAGAACGTGTGCCTATTTTTTTTTTTTTTCCTTTTTTTTTTATTCACGTAGTGTGACCACTGCACACGGTATCACGCAAGCGTGCACATCATGATTAGTGCATGGCGGTGTGGTGGTGTCTGGTATGCGCACTGCATCGATTGTGACGGATTATTTCCTTTTTTTTCCAAATTTAGTACGAATTGTAACTTTGTCTGTGCACAGAAAAAAAAAATAGAAATTAGTGCTAGTGGTATAAGTACATAATCTTCTGACCAGTGAAAATAGGGGCGAAAGTATAAAATGTCCTTAATGTAGGTACTACGAGTTCATAATCCTGTTGGCACAGTATAGTTTTCAAAATTCTTTTTTCTCATTGTGCGATGGTTTAAGTTAGGATTTATTTTATTTTATTGGAAGAATCTTTTACGTTTAAAATGGGATACTGGAGAGTGTGACGATGGAAAGGAAAATTTTGATTTTCTTTTTCTTTGCTCGCGCAAGTATCGCGTGCTCATGAGAGAAAAATTATTAACTTTTACGGTGTGGTATACTTTCTCGCTTCGTTACTCACGTTCTAATTTAATTGTGAATTTCAAAAGTGAGCGCGTATTGAGGATCTTACGTGCAAACAATCAAAGTGTTTTAAGCGATAATACAAGTTTTGTAAATCGTTTGTCGTAATATATATATATATAT